CCCCAAAACCCCAAAACCCCAAAACCCCGTGATCTAAAAATACTCATTATAAGCAAATGATATTATTAGTCAATGAATTTTTAGATTAATTAATACTATTTACTTGATGCTGGGAATAGTTAGAAAACCATTTGTTTATCTGATCAGAATGTGTTTATTGTAAATTTTTTAATGTTACTAGGTTAGTTATCAGGTTTGAGTACTTAGTTTGAATCAAATTTGGGTATCAAACTTGCATTTTTATATCTTTGTTAGAAGCTCTGATTCTGACTTATGTTGAATGTACTCTAATTTAGACTTAATGAAGAATTCATGCCATTCTGTTTAAGCATACTAAAACCATTTTTGACAGCAGAATTTTATTTTGAGGAATCTCTGCTAGATTCATCCTTAAATCCTCTTAATAGACTGTTAAATTTACTATCACCTTTTACACTACTTGATTCATCTTCTTAAACTTTAGAATCAGATTGATCTTCATCAGAATTATCACTATCATCTTCATTGTCATCACTGCTTTCTTCATCTGAATTAAAAAGATCAGCTGCTTCATCTACAAAGTCATCTTGATCTCCTAATCCTAGATCTGCTTTACCGAATAATGCCTCAAAATCTTTCAAGGACTTTCTCTCCTTGTTATTCAATAATTCATCTATGAATTTTTTATTTTTCCTTTCTTCTTTTCTGAATTTGTTCTATAATTAGTTATAAAATAATAGAATTTTACCTTTATTTACTCTCTAGTTCTCTCTTAATTAAAGACCTTCTCAATTAGACTGAAGTCAGTGCCAAATATTTATAAAGCCATGAAGAATTTTTTAGTCTCTTCTGGTTTCCATTTCTCTGCGGGTTACCTTTTCATGAAACTTAGAGATGACAGTTTATTATTAGTAGAGTTGACTACTGTGATCTCTCTGTTTTCATTTGCCAAGGCAATGGCGTTTTCCCTCTATTGCTAGAAATTCAAAAGTGGTGCTTATATCTGAGGTTTTCCATTAACAATTACCAACCTTGCCTTGGCAATAATGGAAACAGGTTACTGTTATATAGATTGAGTTTTATTTATCGAATTGCTATTTGACTCAGATTTACTTATTTAGGATTAAGCTCCACATTTTGGCCTACCTAGCAATTAGATTGGGATTTCACCTTCGCTCTTCTTATCTTTAACACTTTTTGCACTCTCTTTTTCTTCTTGCTTATTCTTTCTTTTCTATATCTTCAAGAATGCTTTTTATTCCTAAAATCATAAATTAGTAATTTGATAGAGTTTTACCTTGATCTCTAATTCACTTTTAGCTGGAACTCCAGATTTCGTGTCTTCAATAATCTCAATTAACGTTTTCTCTCCTTGCTTTTTGCACACAGTGTAGTTCTAATCTTCCTTACGAATCAATTATACTATTTGCTTCTTCTCATTAAACTCATCATCAGATTCTACAATATTCTTTTGGGCTCTAGTTTTTCTCTTTGACAAGAGCTTTTCAGTGCTTACTGCTTACTTCATCTGTATTTTTTCATTTTTCTTTGGCTAAGTCTCCTTTTTCTTTGTCTGTTGCCTGGTTCTACTCAATTTAGTGTTTTTCTTTGCTGTGACCTTTTTAGAAGGCATCTCTAATCATATAATAAAAAATGAAAATGTTAATTATTAAATTGTCTAAGTTTAAATAGTTATTTCATCCATAGGGGTTTTGGGGTTTTGGGGTTTTGGGG